CGTGCGCGCGCACACACACGCGCCGCACAAACGCGCGCGCGCGCACACGCACACACATGAATGCGGTTGGGCTCAGTGGGAACCCGCGCCCCTTTGGTGCAACTTGGGCGCAGGCATGGTTCGGGCACTTCTCACTGATGGGGCTTCGTTTTGGGAGGAGTTAGAAGCTGAGGGTTTCGGTAAGGATGTAGCTGTGGGGCTCCGCAGGGCACCAGAGGCCAGCTGACTCCGGGGACCGACAACTGTTTGACAAATAAAATACTCATTGGGCATTTCCTCATCGCAACCAGGTCTAGGCTGTCCTAATATCTCGACCCAATCGGAGAAAAAAATAAAAATAAAAATCAGCAAGTTCTCCCTGTTTCCCAGGAACTCAGCGTCTCTAGCCTCCAAATCACTGACCCTGCCAAGGGGCACATTTCTGACAGCTCTGACTCTGGTGGCAGGGTATTGGCGGCTGTTCAATCTGAAAAGATTTCCTCCTTCTCAGGTATGGTGGGGACCTTTGCAGCCACCAGAGCTGGGCTCTGGTCGCCAGATCAGGTCTCAGGACTGAGGGTTGTTCATTCTCTTCTTTGATTTTAGATGACGATGGACTGTTTTCCTGCACAGCAAATAGGCCACTTGTTATTTTAAAAAATGTAGACAAGCTCAGAAAAGGTGCTGGGGGTGAGGCAGTAAGCCGTGAGCGCCCACGTTGGTCAAGGCACCAGTGACTTGTTGCTTCTTCTCTTTCCATGACATACATGACTGCGTGGGGTAGTGGTGATGCTATCTCAGACATGTCACAACAGGGGGATGACTTCTGTCCATTTTACACCACATTTAGAGTCACTGGAGTTTAGACTCTCATCTGTAAAATATATAGACTTTGCAAGTCTCCACAATTAAAAAATCTTTTCCACCAGCAGGCAGCGAAGGTCCCTGGGTCAGAACTGTAGCCAAGAAAAGCTTTCTGTAGATGCAGAGGCACCAAGGGGCTCTGGGTGTCTGGGCATTTGGGGAAGAAGCCTCAGACATGAATGTCAGATGGTCCTGAGGAGCCTAATGGTCAGTGTCCACACTGGGCTATCTGCAGGCGAGCTGATAGGACAGATGAGGAACTGACACTCAGAGATTTCCCCAAGGTTCCACATGGCAACGAAAGCAGAGCCAATACCAGAACCCTGTAGTTACACTTCTTCCTACCATTCACTATTCACATCTCATGCTACTATCACCCTGGGTTGGTTCTCAAAGTTTCCTTCGGCTAGATTGAAATAATCGTGGGGGGATGCTCTCGAAGTTATCTTTTCTTGTTTCCCTTTCATTTACTGACTCATCCATTTCACAACTATCTATTAAGCTCCTACTGTGTCTTCAGGCACTTTCCCTGACTCTAGTCTTGAGCCTTACTTGGGTTGAAAGAGGAACCTAGAGATGAAAGGGGCTTAGAACTGTCCCTGTCCCCAGGAGAAGAGGCTTACTGGATATATTTTCACTGTGCTAGATTGGGTGGATGTGGAAGACACAATTTTGCCTTCTAAATTTGCATTCTCTGTGGAGGAAAACACTCACATATGTGTTACACACACAGGACATTCTTGCTCTGTCTACTCCTGATTCCCTCTAAAGAAGGCGAAATGGAGGGAGACCATGTAGCAGACCATCATTATGAATTTGGAGATGAATACTTGTAGGTAGGGATTGGGGCAACATTGATTTGTTCTGCCTATTAGAACACGAAGGAAATAAGTTGGATGGGAGAAATAGGGAAGACACTCAGAAACAGAGTACGGAGGCTTGACTTGGCCGGGAGTGTGTTGAGGAGAGTCATGAGAGTGAAACTCCCGGTACGGGGTTGTTAAGCAAAGATTTAGAGAATAGGACTTGCAAAGATTGGTAAGTAGTTTGCTGAAAGGAAGGAGAGGCTATGCAGTCCCTGTTTGCCCCACTTCCTATGAAATAAATCATTTGTAAAGGCAATATTGCCCACGATTTGTTTGTGAGTGGATTCCTTTGGGGAAACTGCAGGTGGTGTTGAGTTCAGCATCTGCGTTGATGCAGGGTGAGTACAGAGAAGCTCGTGTGGACAGAAGGCTTAAAGACAGCTGGACCCTGGGTGACATGCTAATAACATGTGGGAAAAGGGTGGTAATAGATGTCAAAGCAATGTGGAAGGCAGGGAGGGCTGCGGTGGGAAGAAGCACGAGGAAGACCAGTTATGCTGACTGAGACATTGTGGAAGAGGTAACTTTGCGATAGGATTTGAGTAAGGACCTGACACAAAGACCAGCAGGTCAGGGCACTCTAGGCTGAGGAAAAGCAAAAGTACGGAGGGAGAACTCATGGTGAATTCTGGGCCTTCGGTAGAAGAAAAGAGGATTGGGACCATATTGTAGAAAGACCCTAAGTGCCCTGCTGGCAGTGTAGACTTCAGGCTCAGAGTATCAAGGAGATGTTGAAGGTGTGCATTTTTTGTTGTTTCTGATTGGTTTTGACAGAGGCTGGGAAACAAGCTGGGAATCTTCTGGTGCCAGCTTTTCCAAGTAAGGAATTCTTGATCAGAATGGGGGAGGGGAAAGGGCTGGGTGGGTAGGTGGGGGAGCAAGGAGAGAGAGCTTGCTGCTGCCTTCATGAGGAACCAGAACCCAGATGTTGCAGGTGGCTTACTGCAAGTGGCGCCCACAGTCTACTAGCCTAGCCATGCAGCCTGGAAGAACTATGTCTGCCTGGAGGAAGGGGTGCTTTTTCTCTAATTTGCACAGAGGCTTGGTGTGGGCTAACAGAGGCCCTGGCTGCTGAACTGTCTTTTGAAAAGGCTGAAGCCACAGTGAAACAATTGAGGATTTATCGAGCATTTGTGTATGTGCAAATGCAAGGCAGAGTAGAAAGAGTCTTGAAGTGAGGAGTGGCTATGAGCTTGAGCACCTCTCTGTTCTTCAGTGACACTCTGAGATGCACTGTAGGGTACAGAGGAAGGAGCTTCCTTCCTTCTGAGCATTTGGAATCTGTGTTGGCTATAAAACAAATACTCAAAATGGTTAAGAAGAAGCAATAAAAAAAAAAAATGCCAAATTGTATAGAGCAGATGCTCAGGAGGTGAGAGGAAATCCCTCCTTGGAGCTGATGGACTTCAGGACTGACTAACAGGCTGCTAATCTGCTCCCTGCCTAGAATTCTGCAAAGTCACTCAAGGGGCTCACAGTATATTTCTCAGGAACTTTGATTGGGTCTACTTGAGAATAAAAGAGACAGACATCCATCCAAAATCCTGCATTGATTATTGCCTGTCAGGAGTGGGATGGTGGGAAGAAGGCAGAGAAGTATGAGTAAGTAGGGAGAAGGAGAAAGAGTAAAGCCTTCCTGTTATATTTTGGGCAATGGATGCTAAACTTTATGCTTTAATGAGCTTGTAAAGAGGCTAATTTTAGTTCACCCCCATTACTCTGGATCTGTTTTATGTTCTTCCTGGTCAGGAGACATTGCTGTGGAATTCTTCACTGTTGTCCCTGGAAGGGAACCTTTCATGGTGGCCTCTGGGAAGAACCACAGGGAGGAGGAAAAGGTTCTAATTCCATAAATGACCATATGCTTCCAAGCCTTCCCAACTCAACAAAACTTCTGAGAGGATCAGTCCATGTTTAGAAATGTTGGTCACTTCTTTATTTCTCATTAACCGATTTGGGGGGACAAATGTCACAATATGTTAGAAATTAAGGGAGCTCCTAAGTGCTGGCAGTTATCTCACCTCTTCTCATTTACTACTGTCAGAATTACTTTCCAAAAGTATAAACCCCAGAGCCCTCCCTTTGCATACAAGTCTTCAAGGCCTCAGATCCCTCATCCACAGAATGGACATTTTGCAGGAGTTAGAAGAAATATTTATAAAAAGTTTAGCACAATGTCAGTCACATAGAAAGTTCTCGAAAATGGAATTGTTGTTATTACTGCTTTAGAATAAAGTTGATATTCCATAAAATGGCATTCAATGCCCTCCATGAAGTGGCCCCAGCTTACTCATCCACTTACACTTCTGGTAAGCCCTTCGAGGACTTGGGACATGTGTCAACTGGCTCCATCATCTAAACACACCTTGTACCCATCCCTCTCTGTATCTTACTCAGGCTGCTCCCAAGGCTGGGAAAGCTGTCTTTTTTTCCTCTTTCTTGCCCTTTCTATAGTGCTACCTTTAAACCCACCCCTTCCTAGTTATTTCTCTTCTCTTCTATACTCCCACTGAAATTTGTTTATAATTTATTCTAGTACTTAGAACAGGCTACTTCACCCCCACTGATTTGCCCCATCCCTGGACAGCAATTGATCTTCCATAGACTATGTCTTAATCATCTTCCAGTCACCCATGGGGTATTGTATAGAGTAGGGGATCAATAATATTGGATTGAATTTAAAGAAAGCCACTGGACATGACTGTTGGCCCTGAAATTCTACCATTGAGGAAGGTTTAGTTCTACTTTCAAATCTTCTCAAGAGATTCCACTCACTGAGCACCTACCGTGTGCCAGGCACTGAGAGTACTCGTATGTTAACCCTCCCCAGAGTTATGTGTGGGGAGAGCATCATCAGCCTCACTTTACACAGACGTTATTACTCAAGGTCTCCCAGGCAGTAAATGCTGGGGCTGGTATTAAAAATCAGAAGCCTCGGTACACAGTCTCCACTTCCTCTAAGAGAGCCTCTTTCGCGTTGAGCTTGCCTGAATCTTCCTTCTACAGAATTTCTGAATAAATGAAACTGTATAATATAGAACTGATTTATTGCTGCCTGGCTGCATTTTTTGATGTCTTTGTTTTGATGCTCTAAGTAGTTGTAGAGCAATATAATAATAAAAAATAACCATCTATTAAGTACTTATGTA